GAAAAGGCCCGGCCGAAGCATGTCTTCGCAAATCTAACTGAACTGAACTGAACTCTTATGTATGTATTTCTGATGAAGACGTAATAGAAAACGGTCAAATACATCTCTTATATTGTGAAGATGTCCAGTCTCATTCATACCTTTTCTACTATTTGAGTGTCTCTAAACAACCAGTGATTACACTTGTTATATGGTCTTACCACATGGAAATAAAAACTTTAATTAACCATGATCGAAGAATTTAATGAGATATTGTCAAAGAAACTTGCAATAGTATCAAACACTAACTGATGTATACAAGTACCTTACAGTCATTTTCAGAAATTGCTTTATTACATTTGTTCCCTTCGTACTTGATCTGAAGGAAGTCTGTACCTAGCTCCGTGAAAGGTAGTGAAATGGATGAAGATGAAACAGCAAATGGAGTACGAAGGCTGTTCAGGACTGACAAAGCCGGTTTTTCATCCTTTCAGCATGGGTCACACTTTAGGATATGGGCAGAAAGGGGTAAAGAAGAAAAGACCGTGTAAAATTAGTTGAGACAGGCAAAAGTCCTGTACAAGGCAGGGGTGATCCCCACATTGGGCCTCAGTCTCCCCCCATGACGATAAAGAGCATATTCCAGTTTCAGTAAAGTATTGGGAAAGTGAAAAAATATATAAAGGAATGGTGTTCTAGAACTGTAAGGGGAATAATACTGCATGTCAGATCTAGCAGTAATATGCAACTCAACTGGGATACATGGTCTTTATTGTGTCACAGCTTTCCATTCAGTTGTAGGCAGTATAATAATTTTTAAAAATGTGTAATATGGATATCTTAAGAGGAGTCCATTCAAGTCACACATCAAGAACAAAGTATGTAGGCAAGAAAAGGCTTGGATGGTTACTCATGTTTGGACAACACTGGGCTAGACAGTGGTGAAGTAGATGGAGTGGAGAACACTGGGAGAGAGGAAGGGGTGCATTCTGAAGGTTGAGAAATGACCTGGGTGGGTAGTTCTGAATGGACAACAGTTGTCAGTAGGCATCAAGGAGGGGTCATTAGTATCAGTGGTCGGAGCCGTGGGCAGAGAGGCGGGGGTTGGAAAACCAATATCAAATTTAGATAAGCTAGTTGATGAAGAGGCCAGCCTTAATACCCATGATAAGGGTAAAACATCATTATTGCCCATGATGGTTAATGGTTAAAAAGCAAAATAATTGTGCTAGACATCTAAGGTCATATAGCACTATGGGAAAGTATATTAAAGGAGGGGTGAAAGGTGATAGTTGCTGTGTCAACTATCTAGAGTAATCTTGAAAGGTTAAAGATGGGTATAGTTGTTGTTGTTTGAATTGGCTATAGTGGGTCTAGGTAAGGGAATTACATAAGGGTTTCACGTGTGTATCCAGGATGGAATGGAAATGATACGAGGGGATGGAGGGAGGGAGAATGTACGTGTAGTTGGAGTTGAGGAGGGTGGTTTGTGTTGGAAGGGAAAAGGAGGAAGTGGTGTATGGGGATATGAGTGGGAAGAGGATGGGTGTCAGGATGATGGATATTGGCAGTAGTTGGAGCTGAGGGGGATGGGTTGTGTTGGGAAGGTGTAGGGGGAATATGAGGAGGAGGAGGATGGATATCAGGAGGATGGACATCAGTAGTAGGCGGAATTGAGGGGGTTAGGTTGTGTTGAGAGGGAGTAGGAGGAAGGGGTGTAGGTGGAATATGAGGAGGAGATGGATATCTGCAGTCACTTCGAGTGTGGAGGAAGCATGTGTTGTGGAATTTTGTGTCTCAAGCATATAGCTTTGAATATCTTCCATAGTTTCTGCAGTGGAGTTGGAGAATTTTGCGAGACAAAGGTTTTCTTATGAGGGGGGGGGGACTGGTGTCTGAGGAATAAATGCAAAGGTAGGTGGAGGTGAGTGTGCAGTAGGGGAAGGGATGGAAACGAAAGAACTGGAGGGAGAAAAGACCATGCAAAATTGCTTGAGGCGAGGGCTGAGGCCAAAAGTAGGGGTAGGGCCTAAGTCTCCATCTCCTAAGCCCCCCCCCCAACAACAACAATGAGCAAAGGAATGGGGTGGAAATCACTGTATAGTAATAAAACAACAATCATCTCTGATATTTATTCCACAATCACATTTTCCCAAACAGTAACTAAAAAATAATATTAATTTTCCTCTCCGTTGTTTTACATTACATAATAAATTAATTCTACACCATATATAAAATAAATGTAGGTTATGATTATAAAATTAAGCAAGACTTTCAAAAGCCAACCCAAATTTAACAGAATATTGGAACAGTAAAACTGGAATGTATAAAATATTAGAACTTTCAACATTTGTGCAGTATAAAGTTGACAATTTTACAATCCTTTACTGATGACTACAATAAATTCCATTTTTATATAGGTATTGTCTGGAGTTCTACAGTTTCTATTAAGCTTTCTTCACATCTGTCACCTGTAAGATAGCATTTGAAAGCCAGTGAAATTTACAATTGACATTCTGGCTTGTTCTTCCACAAACCATATAGTAGGTCACATAAAATGAAATTCACTTCATTCACTGAAAGCTGCACTATCCTGTGAAAAATATCTCTTAAACAATATATCATTTTCATTCCTCTAAAATAATCATGCTTAAATAAATATGCAGGATTATGGCAGAAATCAGTTATAATCAATCAGAGATAAAAAAAGAAGTCGGAGAAGTTTGCTTTTTGATTCCTTGACAGGAAAAGGTGGTTATCATTAAAGGCATAGTTAGTAATCTTCTGAGAGGGAACAAGAAATGCATAGCACTAAAATAAATTAACTAAAATGCTAGAAATAAATGCCAGTAAGTACAATTTCTTCATCAGGAAAAAATATTAAATAAATAAAAAATAAAAGTAAAAAATGCAATACACCATTACACCTAGTGATATTGGCATGGAAAATCCCCTTTGTGAATCCTATCCAATAGGTATTTCCAAGCATGTTAGGTCACATTTTATATCTATGTTTGGTGCAAATTCTACACAACAGAATTTCTGAAATTTGATTGCCAAAGTATGCTTCTCAGCCAAAGAAAACATGTAGTCAGCCAGACCGCGGATGGGGCACTAACCCTTGTCGATTTTTGGATAAGAGTCAGCCTACACCAAACCAGGGCTCAGATTCTCAGCTCTTCTTGTTCATACTTCAGAAACTCTACTGGATGTGTGCAATCACAAGACTGAAAACTAGTTAATTACACAAAGGGCTGTATTACTGGTCCATGATAAACATTATGCTTCAATTCTTTCAGCTGGCTAGATGTGAAGCATTTTGGTAAGCCTTGGTTAAGATCTTCCCAATTCAACCAGTGCTTACTTTCAGCTGCTAATATTTTAATTGCTTTAACACATATGTCAGGTTTAGATTTCATTAGAATTTATAAATGAACCATATTCATGTTGACAAGTGTTGAAAGGTATGAATGAAAATGAACATCTTCACAATACAAGAGACGTACCAGTTTCGAATATATCTTTGTCAGAAATACATGTATTTCTGATGAAGATACTGGTCAAATACATCTTTTGTATAGTGAAAATATTCATTCTCATTCATACCTTTCAACATTAAAATTTATGAAGGTTGAAATTTGTATAATTCAAAAGAAATAATTATTTTCCAGAATTCTTTTGCTCATACATAAAGATCTTTATGGAAAAGCTGTCACTATATTTTCTATCTATTAGAACTGAAAATTGTACATATGTATTTATGTACATGTATATATGTACTTCAATTCTAATTTTTGCTTTTTAAATGTCACTGACACAGCCTTAACAGAGCATTATATACCAAGCTAACAACAATATGTTTTTAACATATTAATTTTGACACCCTGTTATACAACAATAGTAACATTAGTGCTCAACTATGCTCACATAAGTCAACTTGCCATAGATATGTTCAGAAGATCAACTTGCTACAGTAAACACAGTTGAAAGAATTTACTTCTATATAGCACAAATGAATAAATATATACAAGTCTTCCTTACTTTTTTATATTATAGCACACCTCAAAACACATCATCTTCAGAAGATCAACTTGCTACAGTAAACACAGTTGAAAGAATTTACTTCTATATAGCACAAATGAATAAATATATACAAGTCTTCCTTACTTTTTTATATTATGGCAAAAAAAAAAAAAAAAAAAAATCCATCAACAATGTCTACCTTTTTCTTTTTATACAACAAAATAAAATATGAGAGCATGATTACAAAATCATGGTGAACAAATTCTGCCTTTTCTTAATGTCCATTAACTGATACCCTTCCACTTCTTTTAATCTCCAAATGGAAATTCCAGTCCAAAAAGTAAGGTTGACTATTGAAGAATATCTTATTTATTTATAAATGATGTGGAATACTTGTAAAACATCTTATGACAAAATTATACAGGAGAGACTTTTTCCTCATTCTGTTAATGAAACAACAGGACTCTGTTTAATGAAATTAGTTTTTACAGGAGAGACTTTTTCCTCATTCTGTTAATGAAACTAATTCAGTTTACATAAGAACTGACTCTTGCATTCTGAGGACAACCACTTTGTACAAATGATAATGTCTTTTTTATCCCTAGCTGCCCTTTTCTCATTAAACATCTTTCTTTTATTGACTAAGTCATTGTAGTTATATAATTAAATTCAACTTCAGGACAAATTTCATAATACTCGACTACTATCACTCTATTGCACGGAAAGTACAATTAGTAATCAATGTTCTTGTAAAATGGCTAGTATATAAATAATCTGCATTGAGGAAGTGAGCAATACAGCTGTTGAAACTTGAAAAATCTATGCAAACATTCCATGAATGCTTTCCAGCAGAATCAGTCTAAAATTTTCTAAATGAATTGAATGTATATGAATGAGTAATATTTTGCCTTAGCAAAATAAATCAATTTTGTGAACATACCTTTTGATCTCACAAGCATGTTTATTAACCTTGGGATATCAAGGGCCTAAAAAATAAATTTATATTCACTCAGTTTTATTCTTATAAAATAGAACACTTGTACCAAATCTCACTAATTCTAATAAAAATAAAATAAACCAAAAAAATAACATCTTTTAAGGTAACATATTGCAGGAAAGTATTAAGTACCAAATATTCACAATACCAGTGAAGCAGGATATTTCTGAGATCACGTTATCCTTCCCCCTTTCAACAGCTGATACATACATGTGTACATGTGGACGGGACACAGTATCTGAGGGCCACCATATTATCAAGTTCTGTGTTAACGAATGTTTTGTTTTATCATTATTGTGAATTATTTAATTGTGATTATTGTTTATTTTATATTATTACTAAAAAAATAAGCAAAAATAAGCAAAATCTCTGGGTGAATATCATTCTCACAGGACATGGCACAGGGATACGTTCATTTAATAAATTCTACCACAATATAATTTACAACCTTACCAAGGTCGGCAGTGAGGATCTGTTACTATTCAGTAAAAAAGGAGGCCCACTAGTGATATGCATTGTTTATTGACTTCAACCAACCAGCTTCCCATCACTCTGTAAACTGATGTTAATATCTGATAAAATCTTGAATTATCTTGAATTAACATAGAACATATATAAACATTAGTATAAGACCACTCACTGGTATTCAGTTAAAAGAATGGAATGATAAGCAGCATTGGTCATTAAGAAGAAACTGCAAAATTTCATCCACCACATTTTGTAGCTAATTGTCACAAATTAGCTAAATAAAGATTGCAAAAATTCCCATTTTCTTCACATACATTTATCACATCCCACAACCTATAGCAGTGAGGTATCAACATTCAAAGACTGTTGCATTGTTTTTGTTATTTTTTCCTGGACAGATTTTGAAATAATTTATTCACAAAGAGATTAACACAGAGTAATGGTAGCATCCGATGCTTTACTCCTCAAATGCCAGTAAAGCTTGAACTGCTACATTAAATCATGAAATCCAATGTTGTTTAGGTATGAATCCCTGTACAAACAGAAATATTTGACACCTTCACTTGGTAATATGACATAATCCTACTATCAATGTTGCATTGATCAAATCATCAAAAACAGAGATAAAAGTGTCGTCATTTACCGAGTAGTTCAAAAAAAAATAATGTTACTTCAAACTTATAAACATATCCAAGAAATCCAGATGAACAAGAATATACAGAGTGTAATCCCATCCTGTCACGTCCTACACCTTTCCCTCTTTTGGTCTATGCTGAAACAAGACCTCCACAATGCTAGGATCAGCTAAAGTAGAGATGTCTCCAAAGTCTCGGTCTCCCACGGCAATTTTCCTAAGAACACGACGCATGATCTTCCCTGATCGCGTTTTGGGCAGTCCAGGGGCTAGCTGGATGAAATCTGGTGTGGCAAAAGGACCAATTCGGCCACGGACTGTAAAAATGGGGAAGACCAAACAGAAATTACTTTAATTTTATAAATATTCTAAAAATTTGAAGGTAGACATTCCAAAACATATTCTGCTTATTGTGATTATTAGTAGCTCAATCCTAATTCTTGTGTAAAATATACCAATATTTACCTGCAGATATTGTATCAGAATAACTTGTTTTGCAATACATTTGAAACACTTTCAGAATCACTAATAAGTATATGCAACTATTTTTTTGTACATCTTACCTTTGTTTTTGAGTTCTGCTGTAAGCTTATCAGAGAATTCGCAACCCTCAGCCAGAGTTACAAAGCAGTAAAGACACTCTCCTTTTACAGTATGTGGTCTTGCCACCACAGCTGATTCAGCCACACTTGAGTGTTCTACCATGGCACTTTCAACCTACAGAAATAAAGTAAAAAGAAATTAAATACATAAAGTGAGAAAAAAGTAGTGTTAAATAAGAAGAGATAAAAAATAAACAACTAGCTTGAGATAATGAAGATGGCATGTAAAATATTCACTGGGTGAAAGGCATTCTTTTTCAGCTCCGAGACTTTATACCCAAAGGCTTTTACCCACTCAATGCAACTGAGCATAGTCAGCCACTTGAGTGAAAAATCATAACCAGAAACATGTTTTCCACTGTCTATTATTTTAATTGCATCACACATGATCTTTCAGTAAATGAGGCTGAAAAGGGACTAAGCCTACTTTACATTGGTCAACTGTACATGAAATGGATACTTGTCATCCAGAAAATGGGCCAAGTGTGTCATAACAAGCATAGATACCATTTGAGATAAACACCTTTTCTGTACATTTCATTATCATCAATTACAAAATAATACCAGTAATATTGCTTACATTCTCTCTGCCTGGAAGAAAGGCTTATATATTCCAAGTTTCATTTGTATGACAGTTAGCCCATTAACGCTGGTATATTTTGAAGCCGAAAATAAAAGATTCCAGGCGGCCCGCTGCTGCATCGGAGCGCAAGCCCCGATACAGCATGACACTGGCGGGACGCCCAGCAATGTTTATTTTTTCGGGTGTCTCATATGTGGAACACCCGTCGTTAGTGGGCTTTGTAGTCAACAACATTGCTATTCATTTGAATTCACTATGAATTATTAAAACTGTATTGTATTCCTGTATTTGTAATATCATCAATGAAAATACTCTGAATATCTTTGTTTGCTGGGCTGAATTCAACCACAACTCAAACCCACAACATATCTTGTACATTTAGTGCTTTGGATGCTACTTCTTTTTTGCTGGTTGCTGAATATGGGACACTAGGTAATTCTTGTATATTTTTTCCTTATACACCAGCAAGCAGTTAAGAGTAGAAATCACTTGATGCATCACAAACCTGTGCAGTAGACAGAAGATGACCAGATACATTCAACATATCATCAATACGGCCAGTGACCCAGATATAGCCATCCTTGTCTCGTCTGGCACCTAATGGGGGAGGGAGAGGGATGAAAATATAATCTATTTACATAGAATATAAGCATTTACACCCTCATCCATAAGGGTAAGCATTGAAATTTTAAAATAATGGCTAATTACACCTAAACAATAATCACCTTATCCACTGAAAATATTTCACAATTTTATAACTCCACATACCATCTCCAGTACAATAGAAGCCAGGGAACTTTTTGAAGTAGGTAGTTTCAAAACGCTCGTGATTTCCATAGACTGTGCGCATGATGCCTGGCCAGGGTCTTCGGAACACAAGGTAGCCTTCTCCCTCACCCTTGATTTCAGCACCTTCTTCATCCAAGAGCGCAACATCAACACCAAAGAATGGGAAACACTGTACAGAAAAAAATTGATAAATAGTAACTATAATAATAAGAATAACAATAACAATAATAATAATTTAAAAAATATTATTAGTATTACTATTATTACCATCATTATCATTCATAATGCTATCAATAAAAGCCTTAACTATAAAACTAATTCAAAAAATAACAAAAAACATACAACGACAATAGTGATCTACATCATGAATCATTATCATTAGTTTTGTGTAAATACACATAATACTATCAGTGGCCATGTGTTATAGAAAAATCTATCTAATCTATCTATCTATTTATCTATCTATATATATATATATACATACATATACATATATATACTGTGCAGATGTCAAGCAGATTCAACCTACATTTAATGATGGGCGAAGTAACATTGATAAAAAATTGTAATACGGAATATGTTAACAGTTTACTTACATATCAAGGATAGTCCTTACAAGGTCAAAAATACTCAAAACTTGCTTACCGCAGAACCAGGCTTACAGGGTGTAGCTCCAGGGAGAGGTGTAATGACATGACCACCTGTCTCAGTCTGCCAGAAGGTGTCCACAATTGACACATTACTGTCTCCTACTACCTTATAGTACCACAGCCAGGCTTCTGGGTTGATGGGTTCTCCGACACTCCCCAAGACAGAAAGGCTTGACAAGTCATACCTATAATGGACAGCAAAAAATAGATATGCATGAGATGGAATAAATGAAAGCAGGAAAATAGTGAATAGCAGAAAAACAAATCTACATAATGCCCTATCTTCTTCCAAATAATTTTCTTCCAGAAAAAAATGTAGGGTTCATACCTCAATATGTCATGGGGTTCACACTAAATATTCTAATTTACAGAAAAAAAAATATATAATGATTATTAGTCATATATGAATACTTTTTCAGCTATACTGAAAATCTCAACCACATAAAAAGATGAAAGACAAATATTTCATCTTACTTTTTCAATAAGTAAATCCAAATAAATTAAGGTTGAAATATAACAACAGCTGATATATTTCCTCTCTCACATTATTTTCTTCAACAACTTGTATCTTCATTGTTTTTCCCAATCTTAGCCCATTTCTTTTTTTCTCAAGCAAACATTAACCCCTACAATCCAGATGATGTTATGAGCTCATTATGGAAAAGTATGGATTGAGGGCTGGGTGACGTGAACATGCCATCGTCAGCTAAAATGGCTACAGGCCGGGTGATTCCAAATTGCTGTCATAAGCGTAGGCCAGGGTGACGGAAAGGACTCACCATAAGTGTACAAACCTCTTGAAATGTGATTTGACTCATTTGGCACTTAGAAGGGGGCTTTATCACTACTCCCATCGATAAACGTGTGGATTGTAACATGCATAAGCCATGTCTGGAAGAGCACCGGCTCCAGGTAGGATGGCATTTCTATGCTGTGCACCATATTCATGGCCATTGTGACCGGTGGCACAGGTTGTATTGCGCAAAATTGAAAATTACGAAAAAATAAAATACATGACACAAATAACCAAATGTTCCATGTTTATTTCTTCTATCAGAGTTATTTACTACATAGAGAGAAGATAAAGAATCAGCTCAATAGAATACGTCATTTCCTTATAGATAAAGCAAATCAAAAGATAAATATGGATATTGGAAAAAAAAAAAAAAAAAAAGTTAACACAAAATAACTTTGCAAAGAGGAGACACAGAGTCTTGTCACCACTCATGGGTATTCACACACGCCCAGCCTACATGCCACACACCGACAATGTTGGCTACTTATGTAACTCAATACCCATATTTTCAGCACCATGATGCAACCGGATCCAACAGGTTTACTTACTTCTTAACAGGATCATCTCCAAATTTCATAAGCGTTCTGATAGCTGTTGGAGCTGTATAAAATTTGCTAACTTTGTACTTCTCAATTATCTCCCAAAATCGCCCTGTGTGTGGGTAAGTTGGTACTCCTTCAAACTGTGAAGAAAGGATACATATCAATTTCATCTATATCTGAATGTGAAAAAAAATCAAAACCAGGATTACCCACAAAATATGAACTAGATGTAGCTAGTAAAAACTTTTAAAAAAATATATAGATGTAATAATTCCTTACATAAACAGAGCTTAAAAAAGACAATAGCATCTCTCCAACACTTACCAATACTGAAGTTGCATTGTTCAGCAGGGGACCATATGTTACATATGAGTGCCCTGTAATCCAGCCAATGTCAGCAGTACAGAAGTAAACGTCGTTTGGTTGATAGTCAAAACTGTATTTGAAGGTGGTTGCACTGTACAGCATATAGCCTCCAATAGTATGTAAGACACCCTTTGGCTTTCCTGTACTGCCACTGTTCAAAGAAATTTAAAATTCATAAGAACTCTGCTTACAAATATCAATTTGAATTTATTTTGCACTAATAAGCTGCATAAAGTTTAAAAACTACAGCCTTATACTTTATCCCTAAAAGGAACAAGAATGAAAATAAGTGGATAAACAAAAAACAAGATTAGCACATCAAAATAAAATGGCAAGTCCATTTTTATTTTAAGTTCAAAAACAACCAAACCAATAAGATAACAATCATAGAATACCTAAATAAAGCACAAATGAGAAATAACAAACATCCCCAAAAAGTGTTAATGAAAATTATGCAAATCTATAGACACATCAGTTCATATACTGTATCATGATTTACTTCTCTGTGCACTCCTCCCAAAGGAACCACCTCTTTACAGACAACAACACTATCAATAACCAGTAAATCTACGTTACCTGGTGTACAGCATGAAGAGGGGGTCTTCAGTATCCATCCACAGAGGAGGGCATTCTGTACTCATGTAGGCCAGGGCATCATGCCACCACACATCCACCTCTGGATTCCACGTCACCTAAAATCAGAGGCTCTTATAAGTCATCACAAGAACAAATAAATTATCTAATCTACTCAACTACTACATGTGTTATTCATTACTGCTACTGACTGAAAATGTTATTACCTAGATTTGATTATTTACCTGGGTACATCAAACAAGCTCTTCACAAATATATATTTATGACTTGATCAAAAAGTTCTGAAGCAAATTATCAATTTGTTCATTCTGAATAAAATAAGGATAAATATATACATTCCTTTATGAAATAAAGGAAACCATCCCAAAATAAAAAAGTGCAGACATACACAACAAATGCATGTATAGTATCTACAAGAAATGTAAGCTCAGAATCCAAGTGTTGTACCTTAATGTAATAAAAGTGTGCATAATAATCATAAACAATCTAATATAAATACCCTGCAAAGACACCAGTTACAGTTCCCTTATGTACAAAAAAAGGAGTTACAGGAGGCAAAGTGAATTTACTTTAATACTGTGTGGAATTTTGGCTTATTACTGTTTGACCTTAAACCACATAAAAACAATTATCCTTATGGATATGCAGTGCAGCACTGAAGGTAATGTGCAAGAAGTTCAACAAAGGAAGGCTACAAATAGTACACAAACACACACATGTACATATACTCAGACAAACAAAAACAAATTAATCTTACCCACACAAAAACACAATCACAATCTCACACAAACACACACACACACTCACACACATACAAGGACAACAAGCCAAGAAACCAATGCACATTTGATCTACTGGTAAGGAATATACCACTACCTTATAGTTGCCCTGCCGATTCCGAGGCCAATGCAGGGACATTGATTGATATCGATGGTGTATCGGAGACGGAGCAGCAGGAGAAGGGAGCATTAAGGAATATGGAGAGGAGACATGACTGACTGTAGCAGTACAAAAAAATTACAAACCACACAAGTCATACCACACAGCTGGCTTGCAATGCTAAATCAGAATTCCTACATCAGTGAGAGAGTGAGAAGTGGTGGTTGAGGGGATATATGGTATATGTGATCTATTCTTGACAACCACCACTGCACATGCAATACTCACACATTTTAGTACTAAGAAAACTAAGCAAACATGATCTAGTAATCTGACAATGATTAAAAATAAACTCATGGGATGCATATTGATAGATATAGTATATATATCCCATTATTCCAAAATCTCAGAGAATGATATATTATGAACTCTTCATCATGAAGTATTTATCATACAATGCTATACCTATTTTCAGTCACAAAGTAAATGTTTGCACAAAACAGAAATTATCATATTAAATGTCTCATATGTGGCAATACATTTTGCATATGTTCATTTGGCTACAAAAAGGATATCATTCACATATGGTGATTAAGTC